TACTAATATACTACTTTACATACAATAACCCACTGACTCCCACTATAAATGTAGTTTGCACTGATACACTGATGCTAATAAATGAACTTCCTTGGTATCGTAATGGTCATAGTGTGAAATTAAAAATTAAGTCTACTTACGAAACTTACAATGTGAATTGAATTGTTATCCTTTGAAACTGATAGGACGATGAACTGAGGCCTTCTTCACAGAATCCAACAGTCACAACTCCAAGGTGATCCTGCTCCGGTTTCCGGTAAGGTCAATAGGCCAAACTTAATCAATTGAGCGTTGGTAGGAAGATCAGGATGTTGAGGCGTCTATTTTGGTTACAGTCTCCTTTCCATGTATAGTAGTGGCTAGACCTCGTTTTCGCAACTTGGTCGTGTTGCCAGGGGGACTTCGTTGGACGCGCATTATCCAAAGTTCTCTGCCATAGTTGGTATCAAAATTCCCAGATTTGAACCGTGGACTTGGTACATTCCCAGACGTTTTGCCGGCCCTGTATTCGACATCTCCACGGAATCTTGCAATTCTTGGCATCAAACTCATCAAAGAGACAAGTGAAGATAATCGCTTAATCAACATTCGGCAGAACTCCTCCTTCTGTTCCGATACATCTACCCACTTCCTGTCTCTTTCGAAACACAGCTGCCTTTCATGTGGTTGGCCGAGAGCCTGTTTCGACATGCTGCATGTCCGTCGTGGTCATTAACGTCGGTACCACCGGCTGACCGGTTCCGTACGGCTTCTTGTCCATCTGGCCGGACTGGAGCACGAAAGAAATCGGTCTCTCACCTCATGCCCTCCTCGGAGCTGGACGTGATTGCGAGGCTAGTTCGACCTGTCTGACCTGCAAACCATGCACTCTCCGGTCAGAGGTCACATGTGGACATTGTCAGGACTACTAATTGGCGCGTGAATCACTCGTCTGCCCCATCAGAGCTGACTTCTGCGAAAAATGAGGCTGGGATATTCGGCCAAAAGCTGGGTTTCATAAATTAATATGACTCGAATTTCCATTTCGAAGGCAAATTTAGTCGGAAGAGACTCTAAAATTGGCTTCGCTTGAAACAGAAAGAGCAGAATGTTGGGGTGTACGAAGACGTTTATGGGTCACTGTCTTACTATCCAGATCCATTAAGGTTACGCTTTTACTAGCCCCATCGGGGCAGATGTCGTCAGAGCAGGAAGCCATCATCTACGCAAAGATTTTACGAGTAATCCTAACTTTTTTTCGTGTTTAAGCAGGTTACAAATAGATCATATCTTTGAAATGTATTCGCCCTAATCCGTTTAAGGTGATAAAGGATTCGGAGTTTCCCACTCGAAAATCCTACCAGAGAATGTGATATGGGAAAGTGTCTGGCCTTCCTTGAAATTCCCATCTGCTCTGTGGCCCAAGGGCAGTCATGGCAATTTGGCTTATTGGTTAATGTGTAGAGGATATACACTGCACTGACCTGGATCGAGTCCCCCTGGGGGTGGTGGTGAGAGCAGTCCGACGAAGTCGAAACTTCCACTTCACTTCACTCCACTCCAGACTGGATGATAATACTTTTTTGAAGGGCAATGGAAATGTCATGTCTACTCATATGATTGTTGGAAAATTCAGCTACCAGTTCTCTTGTTGCCTCAAACCAAATAAGGTGAACATACCTCAAACCCAGCTTTTGTCAGTTCCTGGAAAATAAGGATTTCTCGCTTAAACGAGCTCCGCTATGATGACTTCACACACGCCTACCGTCTCCTCTACAAGGACATGCTTTTTCGGTTTAAGATCTGGTTAAGTCAGGAATCCCTTTTCAACCAATTTTATGCTTAAGATGACTATTTGAGTCACATTAAATGAGGCTGCTTCTTGAGATACCAAACAGGCCAATTCAGGCATCAGAACTTTGGATAAACACAGAGCAACTAAGATGGTTTTTGATTCTGCATTTGCAATAAACAGATCAAGATGATGCAACTCTAGGTTATATATGAATCGTATCTACCAAAATAGACCTGATTTGACCTCGTATTTACAACGTTGAAGAGCGAAATTTATGTCATATCCACTTTCGGCATCCGTTCCAATAGGCAAATAAAGATAAACACGTTGAAAGTTGCTATAACGAGGAGTGGTATACCAGGAGGGGGTTGATTGGACGTGCCAGGAGAAAAATGTGTTCAAGGGCTGGACC